ACATCAGCCTTTGAAATGTACACATGCTTCCTACCTAACTGCGAGGCTTCCGCTTTTGACCTGTAGCAAGAGCCCAGCAGGCTTAAAGGCTTATAGACTATTCAAACGGTCAGAAATTCCATCTACTATTTGATTAATTAATCTAAATTTAATATCCCTATTGCAATGCGGAGTCAATCTTTGGAACTCCCTGACAAAAGATACCGTGAAGTCCAAGACTTTAACAGAGTTCAAAAACATTTAGTTCAATGAGAACAGGTCAATCAATAGCTATTAGCAAGGACTGGCAGGGCTGCTGTCTCTAGGGAATGGGTAATGGGATGGATCACTTCATTTCCTATTCTGTTCATTTCCTCTGGGGCCCGTGGGATTGGCTACTACCAAAGAACAGGATACTGGGATAGACTCAGTCTAGCTGATCACTGGCTCCCAATGCGCTGCCCCTTTGAAGAGCCAGTCAGGCAGTGCAGTATTAACGCCTGCAATTAATGTGTTAAAAAAATTAATGTGTTAATTTGTCTCTGCATTAACTGCAGATGTTAATGCATATCAATTGACAGCCCTAGAAAAAACAAAATAGTACTGAGTTATTGCAGCATGGCGCAAAGAAAAAGTGAGAGCTCAGCTATTATTATTGATCAAACACATGATTTGGTAATGATGGATTGCCCTGACATTTATCCACAAAGATCTCATTAGAAACTGTTACCTACAGTTTGAACCACCAATTCTCTATGTGTTCTTCATGCTCTTCTACCATGTTGTTGCATTCAAAGTTACTACTGTCACACAGGTTTTCTATGATCTCTACAAGACGGATTTCACTAAAAGGAAAAAAATTACAAGTTTTAAATTAAAGAATATTATGTGATCACCGAGTATCTGGACTCCAATCTTTTAACTTTTACTACATTATCATTTTTTAGTTGTGATTTGGACCAGTTTCCTCAATATAGCAAAACACAAACCCTGCAGAAGCATAATGAAATAGCTAATGTTGCATCAACAACTAAGCAGCCAGCCCCAAAGAACAAAAAAAAAAAAACAAAAAAAAAAAAACACAAGAACCACTTTTAATTTTACCATTTCTATGTGTAGATTATGCTGCAGGGGTCAGCAATCTTTCCGAAGTAGCATGCAAAGACTTAACCCTTCTGTCCTGGGCCATGCTGCTCTCCGGGAGATGTGGGGGTGTGGAGGTAGGCTCTCTCCACCATGCACCCCATGGACCACCTGAATCAATGCAAACCTTTCCATGGACTACCAGTTGCTAATGGAAACTCATTGTTAATTACACTCAAACCATTTTGTTAGTGGTACAGCTGGGAATAAATGGTTTAATTTAAAATGCTTAATCTATTAAATAATTTAACTCTTATGTTAGTTCAGCAAACTTCATTTTAAATAATTTTGTGGAGCCCCTTAGACTCTGAGGCAGAAACAAAAATGAGGGGCTCAATGTGCAGGACAGCGCTGCCAGCAAGTGGGATAGGGATGCAGGATGGGGTGAGGATGACAGGATCTGGAAGGGAGCATGGTAACAAGGGGTTGGGGAGTAATGCAGAAAAGGTCAGAATGAGAGATGTAAGCAACTAGTTGACTATCCCATAAGCTTATTGGATAATTGACTAGTGTTGAGAGTAGTTGCTTCCCCCCCTTGCTGCCTCTATCAGAGAGAGGGTGCAAGGCAGGGTGTGGGGAGGGAGAGCAGGAGTCGGTGCTGGGGGGAGCCATCTTAAAAGCCAGTTCTCCCTAGCACTGTCTTCGTGGGCGGTGGGGAGGTAAAGGCACAGCAAGAAACAGTGTGAGCAGAGACTGAAGAAATCTGCTCCTACCGGTTCTAATGCGATTCTGCTTTTGAAATGTACAAGAGACCCAGGCGGGCTCTTGTACATTTCAAAGGCTTGGGCCCCGCAGGGAGTATGGGGCCAGCAGGGGAGTTCCTCATTGATCTCACACTCCCTGCGGCGCATCCGATTTTGAACTGTAGCAAGGGCCCAGAGTTGAAATCCCACCAAATATTGGATTACTTAATCAATCTAAACTTAACATCCCTAGAGAGACTAGCTAGCTGGGGAAGGAGGCAAATAAGTGGGGAGTAAAGGAAAGTGGAGTTTCTGCAAAGTAAAATTATATCTCCCCTCATGTCTTCCCTTTGCTCCCGCCTTGCTCCCCCTGCATCACAGTGTAACCTGTGGCCTCACCCGTCCTACCCCTTCAGCTTGTTCCCCCTGCATTGACCCACGCCCCTCAGTGCAACACCTTCCCCCCTCCCATCCTGCCCCTGCATCTTTCTTCACTCCCCCTCCTGCTCCCAAATCTCTGTGCCCCCAACGTGCACGGCAGCAGCACTGGAGCAAGGAGAGATGGGGAGAGGGAAGCAAGGCAGAGTCTCTTCCCCACCTGAATCAGCCCTTCGCCTGCAGCTCCTGGGCTGGGGTAAGCAGAGCCCGGGGCTGCCCTGGGTTAGTTCCAGCCTGATCGGGCACAGAGGGGTGCTAGGGAAGGGGTTCCCCGCCCCTTGCACACAGCCCGCGCTCCACTTGTGACCAGGCCACCCAGCTCCAGTTCCGCCTCCTCCCAAAGCAAGAAGTCTGTAGCCTGGAGGAGGCGGGTTAGCCCCTTAGCTCTCAGGAGCTGCATGCCCAGGCTGGGCAGGGGCAGTCCCAGAGACACATGCGCTTCTCCTGCTCCCCACTCCTAGCAGTAAGACAGAGCTAGTGCTGCAGCTGCACAACTGAGGCTGGAGCTGCAGCACAAGCTCCTGGCTGTGCCAGTGGAGGGGGGGGAGGGGAGGGCTGGGACTGAGCTCCCACCCCACGGGAAATCAAATCACTTGTGGCGCACGTACAGGGGATTGCCGACTCCTGTTATACAGGAATGCAAAGGGAAAAAAAGAAAATATCTTCAATTTCTTATTTTTAATATTAATGTAATGTAAAATTAGATACTGTCAATATAAATCCACAATTTTGCTAGCAACTCAAATCTAGTTTCATATAAGCATTTTATTACATACAGACAAAAATTTAATACTGAATTTGCAAATTGGGAGAAGACTGCAATTCAGACTGGCAGGCTTTTTATCCTGCATATGAAAGAAATGGGAAAGTAAAACAAATTGTTCTTGCACTGAAAAAGGAAGAAAGTCTGGACCATTCGACTGATGTTTGCCAAAGTTGGTCCAATAAAGGATATTACATCACACACCTTGCCCCTCTAATATTCTGGGACCCACACTGCATTCTACAATAGCACAGACGTCCAGGGAGCAATTCTCCATTTAACAAATGCTAATGCAACAAATATGAAAGCAATTTGGGATAAAGACCAAACCTATGATCGTCTTCTCTCTGTCACAGTTAACACAGTAAGTGGCTAAATAAAATAGCCTCAAAAGATTTTCAACATGAGATAACAGAGCTTACTTCTTGGTGAAAAAAAAGTCAGAGAGAGACTTAAAACACTGAATTGTATTCTTCAACAAAAACTGCCAACACCCATGGAAGTACCAAATTGATTGTATTTTATCCAAAAGTATTACAAACATAGGTTTATTTTGTTATTCTACAAAATATGTTCAATAGTTATGCTGCTATCCAGACTACTGTGGCATTACTACAGATTAGAAGCATGACTGAGTCATGCTTCATAAATATACTGTACTTGAATTCATAAAACTTCATAAATATACTGTACCTGAATTCATACTTGGATAGTGTTTTCTCTTCCCAAGCAGTGTTCCCACCACCAAAATTCTTCTTTGCTGTATCTGCCAATCCCTACAAGATAACAAAGTTTCATTGAAACAATCATTCACATAAATCTTTACTATTAAAAAAAGAATCACTTTTAAAGTGTAGCAAACAAGAACTATCTTATTACTTTCACAACCTGCAGTTACTATAGTCGCTTTGAAGAAACATAAAACAAGATTCTGAAGCTTAAGATCAAACGTTATATCAGACAAAGGGGGGGACAAGCAGTGGATAGGGCGAGGGGGGAGGGAGAAGATAAACGCAACAAGAAAGTTGCAATAACATCACTTAGTGCCTAGATGGGTCACTTCCATTTCACATCTGCATTAAGATTCGCTTCCTCCCTGCCACACGGGAATCCGAGCGGAATCCCACCCCGACTGAAGCGAATGGACGTTGAACCTTTGAGTTTAGCGGGGCCGGGATTTCACCCCCACACGCGGGTGCTAGCGGGATGCAGGC